GAAAACGTTTCAAAATATTTCCTATAAAATATGCCAATGAGCTATTCAGGCAGTAGTGACATACCTGAAGGAGCTGGGTTTGCATTCTCCATGAAGTGAAGTAAATTGCATTGCATCTGAAATTGGAAATGCATTCTCTTGATAGTTTTATTCTGATCCTGGAGCATGGGAGAGTAATGTTTTCAAAAATGCCTAGGGCCAGATTCAAGGAAAAATGGTAATAATAGTGAAACGGTAAAGATTTCCAAGAGCACTTGGGCGTCTATAGCTCCACTGACTGCAAAGGAGATCAGACACCTTCAAGTTCTAGAAAACCTCAGATTGCGCCCATCTTCATCTTTAGATGATTTGAGAGCCAAAATCTCAGTGAAAATCAATTGCGGCTACCAAGAAAACGGGACAAAGTGTTGTTTTGGTCATTTTATCCCTAGTGCCATTTAGGCTGTACAATTTAGGATTTCATTCTCTGCTAAAGCACGTCGATGTAACTCTACCTCACTCCAGTGAAGAATGCAGCCCCCAGAGTTTCTCGGTATCTTTTCCAAAGATAGACAGTAATTCAGTCAAACACTGGGAGCCGATGCATCTCCTTTGGGATTCCCTTCTCCCATTAAGGTAAGAGAGGAGCCAGAATACGGACCTCAGTTGAATTGCCAGAGAGAAGAGAACACAGTCACAGGTCAGTTCTCTAGTCCTACACGGCACGCTGCCTCGCTCCCACATCAGGCTTTTCAGCTGTAAACCCCTGTGATCTCAGTAGAACTACTGCTGGTTTTGCCAGGAGAAGATCAGAATCAGGCTGCTTTCAGAAACAGCTATGGGGTGATACATTAAAGCTGTTCAAGACCTGCGCTTGAATTTTTAAATGCAGGCAAAATCTGCATCAAAATGCAGTAGGACATCCAATTGCTTGCAGAACACAAGCACGACGGGCAAATTTCACCTCCCTGCAGATGCCGGTGAAATCTGCTTGTGGCATTAGCTCTGGCCTGCAAGAGCTTCTTGCTGCAAAAGGCATATTCCAAAGGAACCCGCCATGAAGTCCAGTGGCCCTTACAATTCATGCCGATGTGAAACTCGCCACTGAATGCTTGCTGACTTACTGGGATTCCCCTAGCCCCCACCTGTCTTGGAGAAACGCTAATTTGGCAATACTGATAGAGTGAGGAAAATGGAAAGTTAGAGATTCGACAACTTCTCACCCCAAAATGGCTTAGTAAGGAAAGCAAACCAGCAAAACCAAATCACCTCATGTCTGGCACGTGAGAGAGTTTGTAATACAGTGCAATTACCACTCTGTTTTGGCATGATTCTGTCAAAGTAGAGACAACTGGATTGAAAAGCTGACATTATATTTTTTGGAAAACAAATTGGTCTCAATTCTTATAAAAAAGGAGAACTTCTCTGATGGAGTAGAACCAGTTCTGACAAAGCTGCCATTGTCAGCCAGGCACAAAAATGGTTTAAAAGGTGACTCCTAAATATTTTATACAAATCCAAATAATGTACTTCTCATGAATAGTCAGAGTAAGGGTCAATAAGGGCACGTTGTTTTTAAACTCCAGAAATAATTTGTTGATGGCATTAGCCCTCAGCCAAACTGCTGGTTCCTGAACATAACTTTGTAAACTCCTACTGAATAATACCTCCTTAGCAGATCAGACTAGGAGCAACAAATTTTACATGAAAATAGATGCTTGCCAACATTTTAGGTTTACCAGCAAGTATATAAAGGAGTTGTTGAAGTCTTAGATAGATTATATATATATATATATAAAAAGATAACCTGCCTAATTAGATATTTATGCAAAATGACTGTTTTCTAAGGTAATACTAGTGGTAATTATATAGTTAGCCACCAAGAGTCCACATTAATGAACAGTACTTGCTGTTCAGCAGATACTGATCTCATTTGCACTGACACACTGCAGTCAGTGAAGCCGCTCTGGAATTAGAGTCGTGACTGTGGACAGAATCTGGCCACTGCCACGCAACCACATCGCTTCCTCTGGAGAACAGAGATGGCTGAGCCATGGTTTGAGTGTATTTTCTGCCAATAAATTTGACTTTTCAATGCTGCTTTTTGACAAATATTAAACCACTCCTGAGCTGGTACAACTATGCATAAATGAGCAAAGGTGGTGGCAAACTTGATACTGTAGTATTTTATACTTCAAATTACTCTCCCCGAAGTCCGTAAAAACACGAAGGACCAAGTCTTCTTGTGCAGGGGTTGCGTGGTTCAGTGTCTGCTGGACTCTGGTAGGGAGCGTGGATCTGGGAAGAAGCCAATTATCCCAGTCCAATCATACAAGGGAAAACCTATGGCTCATTCATCTCTGTGCTACCTGTCCAAGGGACTGGTCCTTCCGGTTTTCCCCAACTTTATCTTAACGGCTGCAGGCAGCCAACAAAGTTAATATCCATGTACTCCCGACTTAACTAATGCTGGGGATCAACCCCGCATGCATCGGCCCCAGCAAACTGCGGGGAGCGCAGAGCTGTTCCTTGCACCATCCTTAGCTCTCTCCTTCCTTATCTGCATAGCTGGCAGTCGTGCTGGGCTATGGCAGCTGTCAGGCAGCTCCTGGATCCCAGGACACGCTAGGTGAGATGGGAGGAGAGGCACCGTTTTGCTGTGCTGCTCCCAGTGTGGCCCTGTTCTTTACATGACAAAATGCTTGTGGAGCACAGGAACAGGTCCAGAGCAGCCTGCCCTTCAGTCCTTCCTAAATGAACACAACCACAGGCATCTCCAAATGCAATTTTTAGTTCACTCCTCTGAGTGGGAAGTCAAACCCTTCTCTAACTCACTCTTCATAAACTAGATCTGTCTTGGTTAAACTGCTGCCTGAAACAGTTGTTAGGGATAAATATAAACCTATATTCTTTTTAAGAAACAGACCATTTTGTTCTGTTAAGTGGTTGGTTCCTGGGATTTTCTTCTTGCCTCTAGGACTTTCTAAGTGTAGAATTTTTCATGCCAAATTCATGAATCCAGGTGAGAGAGACTGTCTTATTTATTTCACAGCTTCCCTCTGCTGTAGGGACCTCCAATCTAATAGTTGTCATTACCAGGAGAGTAGCACTATACCTGAATCACACTCTCTGTAACACTGTTTTTCCTCTGGACACCTCAGTAAGGCTCTTTACTAACTTCATTTTCTCATGGCAAATTAGCAAAGCTATTTTCTTGTCTACTTATTCCTGAATCAAATCAGAGAGTTTTCCTCAATTAACCTCCCATTATTCTCTTGATTCTGTCATACACACTCACTACTAAATTTGCCCTCAGATTATTGCGTCATGTTACACATGTACAGACGAAGAAAGGACACACTTTTACTTTTTTTTCTTTTTTTTTTTCTTTTTTTAAACAGAAGTAGGGAGAGGGGGGCTGAATGTGCAGACAAGGCAGTATAATTCAACCATCCAAGCCCTACCAGAGCATGAAGATTTTATTTTTTAATATTGCAGAGTAAGTTCCCCAACAGTCAGTGTTTGTCCCTGAAGAAGGTTAAACCTTAAACACCTGCTTCAAAAAAACCCCAACAACAACAAAAAAGAACCAAAACAAAAACAAAACAAAACAAACAAACAAAAAAAACTCAAAAAACCAAACTCTAAGCCTAAGGGCTTAAAAATTAGAGGCATAGCCTTTTTCTCTATTTTCTATATTTATATGAAAATAATTCATGCTTCATGCTAAATACATTATTTACCTTACAAGAACTTTGTCATCTTTGAATAAAAAAAATTGTTTGCTTTTTGTATTCCCCCCCTCCCAAAAGGAATCCATACAATGTGGATCAAATTTCTTCTGCTGGCTATGCTGGTTGAATCTGGAAATCTGTTGTCATTTTTGCACAGATGAATCCTGACTGACGGAACTGCACACTCATTTCTGAGGGCAGTGTAGGAGCTCTTTTGTTGAACTTCCGAATTTTACTGTTCACCAATATGCTTTTCTTTTTTTTTTTAAATACAGAATATTACTAATGGCAGGTTTTGTAGCTTTGTTTCCCCAGTTAGATCAAGGATTTGATCCACAGAAAAAGATTCTGATGTATTTCCTTCCTTAATATCTACTGTAATTTCTTAGACTTGATTGCTTTTCACTCAGGCAGTTTAGAAGACATAGCTTGTTTTTCCCTATTACTATTATTTTTTGCACGCAGTGCCAATCTTCGGGCTTATGGCTTTTTGAACATTCTTTTAATTTAATATAGAAGACAGAATTCAATGATTAAAGATGCTACTAACAGTGCACCCCCCGCACTTCTTCTCATTATTTCACTGAAACCCATTGCATACATAGTTCAAATTTCCCCAAACTTAAAGTTATCAGTCTTCACATTATGAGCCACATATAGTACGTGAAGCACTAAAAGTGCATTACGGTTTGCGCAGTTGCCACCAGTGGCTGTCCAAAGACTTCTATGGCACAACGTATCCAAGTGCCACTAGATGATTCTTGGTTTGGTGTTGAGAAGTACGTGCCTCCTCTTTCCCCCAAATCTCTTTATTCACATTCACTTCTAACCCAATTGTAAGGCCATTAAAAAAAATTCTTACGGGCCAGGCCTGAAAGATTACTAAATTATGCACAGCTCTTCTAGTATAAGAGGGATTTCCAAGTGCCCAATTTTACTCCCATCACATTAATGTTGATGTCACTGCGTATTCAACCATGCATTTTTGACAAGCCGGAGAAAGCAATGGCAATTTTGGCTTTTTTTTTTGTTAACTGTTTGTCTTCAGGTAATGAAAAGCTTTTGTAAATTAGCTGAGTGTCGGTATGAGTTCTATGGCTTCAATCTCCTTTAAAAATAAAAATCTTAAGGGTCCAAAAAAAAAAAAAAAAGGAAAAAGAAAGAAACAAAAACAAATAGAAAGAAAAACAAAGAAGGAAAAAATTGCTGATATTGCCACAAATCATTAGAATTCACCTGACGTGCTGAAACAAAACTTTGTAAGTTCAAACAAATCATTGATTTGTTCTAATTTTTTGTGGTTTCCTTTTGCTCTTTCTGCCCCTTTGCCGTCCGATTGGTGATGTTGTTCAAACAGGATCGAATTCCTGCTAAATGCAGGAGTGATCCTGCTGCTTCTTTCATCTCCTCGTCGTCACTCTCAGGGGGCTTTTCTGTACGTCTCTTTTTAAGAGGCAGTGTGTCACTTGGTACTTTTTTTGCCTTCATTAAATGTTGCCTTTTCTTGTGCTGGGATGCATACCCACTGTCAGCTAAAGAATCCTTGGTCTCCTTCTGATTTTGCTTTTTGTCCTCCTCTTCTGTTTCACTATGGCTCTCGTGGCTCTGGAAGCTAACTTCACTTCCTTCACTGCTGTCTTGGCTACCTTTAGTTGCAAATTCATACTGGTCGTCAGCAGAGGAAGAGGAAACGGAGTCACTAGCAGGTGATGTGCTCCTGTGGTTGGAAGATTTGGCACTGCTGTAGTTGTGATCCTCCTTTGGATCACCACTAACAACTGGAGAGCCACAGGACTGTTCGCTTTCTGTCCGCATCCGGCAGTTTGTTATTCCATTCCTGTAAAAACAAATCAAAGCAGTCTTAGAAGCCACAGAGATGTGATTCTGCTTCAGTGCAAAAGATGATAAAGTAAAGCCAACTGACAGATAATCTAAAAATATGACTATCAAAGTAATGTCTGTGCAGGCCAGTTTCAAAGCCTGACTCGAATTGCTTGTGGATTGGACTCCACACATAAAACAAGCCAAAAGACACGTAACAACACAGGAGGCAGGAGCAAGTAGGGGATGGTCACAAGTAAGTGATGTCTGAACAGTCCTGATTTACGTTTCAACTAACAGTTTACACTTAAAAAAAAATTAGAAAGAAAAAATCCCCATTATTTTACTGACTGGATATTAAAGAAACTCTGATGAGTTGCATAAATATCCTCTCCCCTTTTTCATATAAAATGACACTATATGAAAAATGTGGGGAAGAGACCCTAGCTTTCTGAAGTACTACTTTGCCTCCTCTCAAAGACTCTTTTCCAGCTAGGACTCTTTCCGACAGAGAGAGCAACTAAATATAGGACACAGGTAGTAGTCCAGTCACATTTCTGATTGTAATCAGTTTATGAATAATCTTAAAAGCAATACAATCTTAAGCCACTAGCTGCCAACAAAGTATTAAAACATGTTTAAAGAAAAACAGTAGGAAAAAAAAAATCTGGTTTTGCTCTACAAGTTGTCGTTTTCCCCTTTGGTTTTATGGCACTCGGTGCTGTGGGAACTTCTGCAACACGATATATTTAAAAACTAAGTGTCCTCTTCTGCACTGGAAAATATTAGAGCATTGCCAGTGACTTTGCAATACAGAATACAATACTTGCAAGTCTGTTAAAGATGGGACTGATC